TTCCGATCCCCCCAAAACCCCAAAACCCCAGAATGGAAAATCTATGAATCTAAATGAGATAATTATAACAATAGTAAACTCATAATTGTTATTTAATTTTGCATTTATTATATAGTTAAGCAAGTTAATCGTAAACTTTAGATACTAAAGATGGGAAAAAAGGGTAAAAATAAGAAGGGATAGAATCTTAATAATAAATAAACAGAAAATTCTGTCATACTTGAAACTCAAACTTTGAAAGAGGAAGAACTTAAATCTAGCTCATAGCAAGATCAACTTTAGAAGGAGACAACTAATATATATCCTATGGAAAATAAATAAGATAAGACTGAGACAGATCAAGAATCAAATGTTGACTACAAAATATTGAAGACTATTTAAGTATCAAGCATGCTAAAAATTGATTCCTAAGTAGTTAGAAATAAGATATCTAATTAGGAAAAAACTAAAAATCATTCCATTTCGAATGAGGAGATCAAAGATGAAAATGATAGAATCGGTCAGGTAAATGCAATATAAACTCAAAATCAATCTTAAAATTCGTTGGACAAATAAGTTTAGAAAAAACAAAATATTGACAATGAGCATTCATAAACTAAAAATGAAAATAACCTTTCTTAGGATATAAATTGTTACTATAAAGTAGTTGGAAAGTTTCAAGTTCTATTGGAGGGATGGCTTGAAGTTTCTGTGAATATGGGAGATATTACTGATGAGAAAGTAGATGCTATTACCAATGCTGCAAATGAATATCTTTAACATGGAGGTGGAGTTGCTGGAGCCATTTCAAAAAAAGGAGGGCCGTAAGATTAAATTAGAATTATAAGTTGCATATCTTAATTTATTTTTTCAGAAAAATTCAGCAAGAATCAAATGAATGGGTGAGAGATCATGGGAGAGTAGAGACAGGGACTGCTGGAGCTGTGACAAGTGCAGGTAGAATGAAAAATTGTTAATATGTCATTCATGCTGTAGGTCCAGTTTGGACTTATGTAAATATATTAAATTAATTTTTCAAAGGGTGAGAGAAATGATGAAGATCTGTTATATAATTGTGTATATGAGGCTTTAGATTAAGCTTCCAAACTTGAATGCGAGTCTATTTCAGTGCCTGCTATTTCATCTGGAATATTTGGATTCCCGAGAAATTTATGTGCTCAGATTCTATTTGATGCTGCAGAAGAATTTTGTTACTAAAACCAGCAAGACTCAACTAGTTTGAGATACGTTAGATTTACTAACTTTGATAAACCTACCGTAGATGTCTTTTAAAAAGAATTCTAATATAGATATAAAAGTTAAGTTCCTATTCAAAAATAAAAGAAATCTGACTAAAATGATCCACTTTCAATTATAATGAGAAAACCTCCGAATGAATCTGAAACAAATTAAATGGAATTATCTAATGAAGAAGACTAATGCCAATAAAATCAATCTGAAACTAGCAAAATTGAAACAAAAGATAATATTCCAATTTTACATAATAGTGCATAAGATAAACAAGAAGAGTTGTCTTCAAATAAGATTGATATTCATGGATATAAGTCACTAGATTAATTTCATAAAGTAGAACAAATCTCTGAGTAGTCACAACCAAATAATTAACAAAATTAGAATGAGGAATAACTAAAAAATAGTTTACCTTTAAGCTAACCAGATCTGGATGACATTCAAGCTCAATCAATTTAAATTGCTGAAAAAGATAATGATAAAATGATTATAAACATTGGCAAAGGTTAAAATTCATAAAAATAGAATATAAATGATGGGACTTTATTTCAAAACACGATATAAAAGCAAGTGCATTTGAATTAAGGACAAACTGTAAATATAAAATATGTCCCAAAAGGCAGCCATTAAGAAGAGGAATTGGAAAAATAGAATAAGAAATATCAAAATAATTTTGAAGATAATAGGGTGAGTACCAAACCTCATTATCATTAGAATTTCTATAATGAAATCCCGAATGATCATAACCGAATTCACTAAGGAATAGGAAATCTTTAAGATAGCCATAGAAGTAAAATTCATGAAAGAGATTATAACCATCAATTTTCCTATGGAAGCTAAGAGTATAAATATGAATTCCGGGTAAAAGATACAACCTTGAAGTCTATTCAAGATTAAGAAACTGTATTTAATAATTAGTAATAATAGAAGACTGTTCTATTAAAACCATAGAGTTAGGATGATAAATCAATTAAAAACAAGGAAAGTAATGAAATTGGTTGCTTAAAAGAAAAAGGCACTTCTATTGAAAAGATTGGTGAGAATATATCCAAGTTATCTAATCCAAAATAAACTTAACCTGCCAATCTAGAAAAAGAATCACCTAAAAAGAAGGCTAAGTCTAAGTAGGTTCCTAAATTTGAATTAGATGGTTGGAAAGGATTAGAACCACAGCATTTTAATTGAAGACTTGTGAAGAGATAATAGAAATCTGGATAAGTATATTGACAGGATAAGCTATTTTAATGCACTCATTGGTCATTAAATAAATTCAGTTTCAGATATTATCTTTATTTCATTAAACATTTTAATAATCAATCTTACAAGAAAATAAGAATCTAGGGGTTTTGGGGTTTTGGGGTTTTGGGG